GTGACTCCATCACCTTCCTGAGCAGCCTCTTCCATCATCAGCATCACCACTCTTTCTGAGAAGAATTTTTTCCTAATATCCAACCTGAATAGGACAAGATGTCATGGGTGATTGGCCAAGCAAAGCTGATTCTATCTAGTAATAATACATATTTTTTAAAGGGAAGATGGCTTAAATATGTTTGAGGCGGATTTGATGTCACTTGTAGTTATTTTTACATCCATACTTGCTGAACTTAGAAACCTAAGTTTTCACGCTTTAGGCAATTCAAGGACATTATAGTGGGTATGTTGGATATTCTTGTCACAGCAATCTAGAGGATGTAATTCTGAATATGTTTACATGTGAGCTCAGTATGTTTTAGGTCAACATCCTTTGGCTTTATAGCTTTAACTGTTTTTCTTCAACATATATAAGCATCTTCGAACTCATGTGACCTTAGATATGTGCTGTGGGTCAGAAATTAATACAGTCAAAAAGTAAGGAACTTGATGCACTGTGATCTTGCAGAGAGCAGGCAGCCTGTGACAGGTGACATCCTGCTTGTCAGGGTGAGAGAACAGTGTGGGAGTTTTCCCCCTTAGATGTAGGACTGTGGAATCCACAACACTGGGATTTGTCAGTAGTTTTTTGATGTTCTATTGTTTGTGTTGTGAGCCTTTTGCAAACCACTCTCTGAATATTGCTGGGGATTAGGCTCACAAATAAATATTTTTTTTAAAGTGGGCCATAACCACATCTCTCATTTCTTGTGTTACAGTCACAGCAGCACTGTCATTACTGCATTTTGTGAGATTAAGGAGACTGTGCCTTCTCTGTTCCTTTGACCAAAGCCAGATGAAATTGTCTTATCCTGTAGGAATGCCTACAGCTGTGACTGCCTTCTTTCTCCTCTCTTATTGGAGCAGTGTTAGGAACGGAATAAGACATGACATCAGTAAGACAGTTCTTATACAGGTATGCCTACTTTTCTTCTGAAGCCCCTCATAAGCCCTCAGTTCTCTCCAGGAAACAGCAGCCTAGCAGAGGTGTCTGCCTTCATTTATCTGCTTTAAGTGAGAAGCTGGCATCTGACTGGACAACCTAAAAGAGGCAGCAAGAATTTCTGAGGTGGTTTGCTGGGTTTCAAGGCCTAGTTGGATTGCCAATTTAAAGAAAAGTTGAAAGCTTCCATTACTGCAGCCCATAAAAGTAATAAATAAGAGCAAAGGAAAAGTGTACAGAAGAACTTGTGAACTCTGTCTCTATCTCATGTGGTTTTGCTGTGATGCTGTTTTCATTCTTAAAATAGTTTGGTCTCTTCTTATTTCAGAGATGATTACATTGCAACCCTAAACCTTTGTTATCTGTAGCTTTACTGCTTGTGTGTTTGCCTGTAGCCTTTTGCTGTACTCCTTAATGAGAAAGGAGTTGTTCACTTGCACTGCCTTTATTCATAGATATTGTTTTTAATTGTAATTCCAGAAACTTTTTATTCCATGTTTCCCTTTAGCAGTCCAAGAGATTCTTACCAGTTTCTGAAATCTGCATTAGATTAATCAGTGTAATCAGTTCTGAATTGTTTCTCTTTCATGGGTAAATTATCCTTACTGAACTAACATATCAAGATTGGAAGCATCACTGATCTATCTTGGGAAAACTGAAGGTTTATGATTAATTATATTTAGAATTATCTAACATTTAGATGCTAAACCATGTCATGCAATTCTGATCTTGTTCTAAATCAATTTTAAAAAGCTCAATGAAAAATACTGTTTCTTGAAAGTAACGTATCTATGTTGTTCTTGCTGTGAAGCCTTTGAAAGCTGCCTCTATGGTGCTCTGATTCCTGGCTTCCATGTGCTGTGAAATATTCCCGTGCATAGTTTCACACCTTGCTACCTGTTTTCAGTTAGATCTCAAACAGGCAGCAACAGCATCTCATCCCTATCCTGCTTTCAGGAATTCTGCCACTGTACTTGGGCCTGTTGGCTGCAGAGTGACTTGGTTCACATGGGAAACTACTTTCCCAGTGAATTCCTCCCACTCCTTCCAAAAACAAGCCATCTTGCCAAAAAAGCAGACCCCAATGCTCACAGATTGACCAGTTAGGCAGAAATTGGTGGGGGAGAGAGGGACCATGCTTTCTGGTTACAACTTGTTACAGGAAGTCTAGTATTTAGATTGGCTGTACGGATGATGTAGTACTGTTTTTTTAACAGTATATAATATTGTTTGTCATATGTCCTTTAATACTGTACGTTTCTGTAGGCCTGTGAGGTATCTGAAAAGAGAGGATGAGTGTGGCATCACAGTGGAAGCCTTTTTCAGCTGCTGCTGAAGGGGGAAATCCAACTCTGCCTTGTGATTTGCTTGCTTGCCCTAGCACCATAGCCCATATAAACTTCCAATGTGCTCTTACATAGCTGTTATGTTTGTGACATATCTTTAGTGTTAACATTAGGTAGGTTTCATTACTCAGTAAGTTTTCTTTTACTTCAATATATTTGGGCACTTACACAGTTCTTTGGATCAATTGAATTCTAGGTCTTCATTTGTAAAGTTGGTTAGAGACAAAATATATACTGAACTTCTAAATACATACTAAAGTTCTAAATGTGTATCTGAATGCTTATTAAAATTGTAAAGGAAAGTTCCACAGTGAATAGGTTTGTGTGGTAAATTAGTTCTGATTAAAAGAACAGTGATGGAGCGCATATTTTCGACTAAGTTCTTAAGGTTTGTTTCCCTGTCTTTTTTCCCCATCTTTTTCACTATACTACAAAATGTTTAAGTGACATAACAGTTGGGATAAAAAAATGAGTGTTTGGAGATACTGAGGCTTTCTCCTTCTCTTTTTTTAAATAGTTCCTTGAGACAGCAATTTGTAGGAGAGCAGTGAAAGCATAGAGGACCAAGGCCAAATGGAAATGAGGGATGGAAACAAAAGGTGCTTGTAGCAGTAATAAGAGATCAAGAGTGAAGTTTGGAAGAAGGATAGGCCTATGAAGATTATGTGAAAAAAAAACAGTGGGAAATGAGAACAATGTGAACGCATGAGAAAAAGGGAAAAGATAAGTGAAGACTTACGGGCTGCAGAGCAGTAATGCAAAAGTTGGGAGTTGTGTATACAAATGGCAAAAAGGGTTAAATGGCTGGGTGGATTGATATCAGCGCAAAGGAGAAGTGAACTTGAGTTATACCTTTCATTCTCAATTTAATTTGACGTAGTGGTAAAGAGGAACAAATGTAAGCATTAGGGCAGTTGTATTTTGAACAGTGGAAGTGAAAGGATTTTTGTGCCTCACATATTAGAAGTTTGATTCTGGTCTAGAACAGGGAGTAATTTGTAAAAGCTGAGTGTAATTAACATGAACTGTTCCAGTGAAATAGGTTTAAGATATTTAGGTGCAAGTGGGGTGATGTCTGGGTGGAAAAAAATGTACTAATTTCTCTGTTAATTGGATGCCAGATTCACTTGATAGTTCTGCTTTTGTTGTAATATAGTTCATCTGGAAAATGAATTCTGTAAACTAGTGCTTGCTTTGGCTTTCAATTTCTTATTTTGTGACTTCACAGAATTTATGAATAACCATTTGGTGCACTTACTAGTAAAATTCAACTGCACAAAGAGCTTTGATTATGGGTTAACTTTTTGTTTCTTGCATTCTTGGTAAATGGAAGAAATGTTGGGGTTGCAATATTGAATATGTTGCTCACTTGTTATTCTTTGACTGTCTCTTTAGATGGAATTTCTGGGAAAAGATCTGCTGCAGGTTGGAATTAATTCTTTCCCATGAAGCATGGACTGGATAGACATGGTTATAGAGTAATTTTTTACCTGATGAACATGGGGGAGGGGAATCACTAACTGCCACCTCCATTAGGTGATAAAAAAGCTTACCTTCACCTTATGGTTGTAAGTGACATGATTTTTTAGATCTTCCATCCTGTTATTTGAAGAGAGAGAATCTGGCCTTGAATCAATGGGAAATGGAAGAGTATGGACTCGTGTTCAATTAGCATCCCAAATAAATGAGTACCCACTCCTTTAGAACGTGAAATGTGTGTAGTTCTTTAATTGCTGTATAAGTTTCTTGTGGTTAATAGCTAGGAACTGGTTTTGCAGCCAATACAAGAAATGTGCGTGTCTGCTTTTGCTATAACATATTCTAATGGAAGAGTTATAAACCAGGGTTGCCCATTAGCTTGGAACTTTGGGAAGTCATGTGCTTAATTTGACATGTCTAGGCTTATGACAGCTGAGCTGAAAGGGTTCTTTTCTGTGATGAAGGGGCGTGTGTCCAGGAAACGTGCCAAAGGGCCTGAGAATATGGGCACTGTTAGGGATGACTCAGGCTAAGGAAAACACAGGGCCTGTGGTTCCAGCACGTTCGGATGCAAACACAAGCCTGATGGATGTTCTGCAGAAAGATTCTTTGATTGGTGCTGTGACAGAACTTGCATTATTGCATTAGTGTTTTTGTTGTTTTGTCCCCCCTCCCAGCAAGTGGCTCTGCAAGCTCTGTTACAAGTAGTCTGTGGCAAAAAGAATGCATTCAAGGATTAACTGTATACTGTTGAAGTAATTGCAAGAGGTAATGGTTGGAAGGCGACTGCTATATTAGGTTGTAGAATGCATTGACTAGTACATGTATTTAGGAATGAAAACACATTTTTCCTTGTGATCTGAAAAAGGCAGAAACTTCAGTGTTTCAGTTGGAAAATGATTCCAAAGACAAATATTTTTTTAATACATCTGTACATGCATAATAATGTACACTGAGGATATTCTGCTGAGTCTGAAAAATCTCATTGCCTGTGTTTTTCATGGAGTACACTATGTCCAAACTGGAATGAGCAGCTTGACTCTACTTAGCCTCTGTTCTGCACTGGCTACCTGGCAGATTTTTTTTCCCTTTTTTTTTTTCCTTTGTGGTTGAACGTTAGATGGCTGACAAACCTTGATTAAAGGACATAAATGCGCCACATGCAAAACCACATGATTTCTTTGATTGCAGGGACCTTTTGGCCAGCTTGCATAAGGACTTGTGTTTAGAAGAGAACCTTTGGGCTCATCTGTATCTCCCTCCCCTCAAAGGGATGGCAGCCCGAGGACAGCTAGCATTCATCATGACGCCAAGAGACTTCAAAGGAGGTAAGCGCCTCAGAAATGCTCCCAGACAAAATGCACTCATCAGTCCTGCACCCCAGTGTGGTAATATTCTTCAGTGCAGCATTACCATCTCCTAAAAGTTTTTGTTCTTACTCCTTCCTGAAAATCTTTTGAGAGCTCTGTAAGGCTTTATCAGCTGGTTGCAGTCCTCATGGAGATTTGCATCTCTGTCAGTAACCCTTGTATTTTTGCTTAAGAATGTGCAAAAGTGTGAAGCGAAAGGTGCTAGCTACGCTGCCTGGCTTTGTGCTCAGATATATGCTCCCCTCCATCCCTTAGTTTGTCTTTCGTATTTTGGATGAGACTTAAAACTTGAGCTTTTCTCAATTCATGTTTCATTAAGATCAAGGGGGAAAAAACGGTGCTTGCTCTTCACAGTTTTAAAGTTAGCTTTTTTCTTTCTTTCTTTCTTTTTTTTTTTAATTATTTTTAAAGTGGATCTCCTTTCATATCCAGCTAATTTCTGCCCAATTCTTTGTTTAGGTTTTTAGAGGGTGTTGTCCCAGGAAATGCATTTAGTTCTGCTGGAGGGATATATGTCTTCAGGAATCTTTTTTTTCCTGTCAGAGATGCCGTCTAGATGCAGCACAGCTGTTTGTATCTCTGAAATGCCTATAGAATAATTACTTAGTAGAAAGATAAATTAAGAACAAACAGTCGTTTGCCGTGGAAACAGAAATGAAAAAACAATAATCCCACGTTTACTTATTTATAAAACAAAAACAGAGCTCTCAGGGGTGATTTCTGACTCTCCCAAACCTCCTTTCAGATCATTCATAGGAAAGCTGAGCTACAGATCTTCTTTTTCTTGTTCTTATTCCAATAAACATTATGTAAAACCCACTAAGAATGTATCTGAAAACATAAGGAAGAATTTTCATGCCTATTTTTTTTTTTTCCCCACTTAAAAGAATATTTGAAAGTAGACCAGTAGTAAATATTAATTATGTTTGCTGAGCAGATTTTTTTTCTTGGAGTTTGGATTTGTAGAGGATTCAGTTGACAGTGAGTGCTCTCAGACCACATAAGCTATATCTGTTCCTAAGTCCTGTATGATTGCAGATACCCTGAGTAACAACTTTCGCCTTATTTTTCCTTTCATGATTTTACTGTGGATTTTTTTTTTTGCTATAAGTTTCACTTTATAAAACCTAGGCAAGAGCTTTCTGACTACTTCGATGACCACTATCTAGCTGGTGTTCCTATTAGGCTCTGTTGTATCAAAGTAAAGCTCCTGAAGATTGGAGCTTAAATATGTTAAGGGCATCGTATAAAATAATATATCACCTAATTCTCTTCCAAAGTTATTTATGTTCAGATTTACCAGTGCATATTATGATCAACTTGTAGCTCATCCAGGCTTAAAACTTTTACAAGTTCTGGTAATGCTGATAGGTTAAATTAGCTTGATTTCTGTTTGTCTTTCAACAATTTTATTGTTGGTTTTTGTTGCTATTACTGTTTTCTTTCATTGGTGTTCTTATTTTTCTTTTCCAAATGCTGAGATTTCTGTTACAGTAATTAGCTGCCATGGTTCCATATGTACATATCTAATGTACAGTGCAGTTCAACTGTAGCAATTGATTTATTTCATAATATGTAGTCTTACCACAATGCATTATTTCTATATCCCTTCATCTGGTATTGAAAAAGGCAAAAGAGTTTTAAAATTAAAAAAAGAATAAAATTAAATGAATGAATTTTTCACAAAACTGGAAATCTTTTTTGGGGGGAATTATTCTACCGCTTCTATTTATCTCTGCAAGATATTACCACATAATCCCCAATAAGAACAGCACATGAAGCTGGTGTAAAGCTTAGCAAGTCAATTCTGTTCCTGTGCAACAAACTAAAGAGGGTCACAAATATATTTTACCTTTATAGATGAGTTGCTATCTCCTGGGAGTAAATCATAAGGAAACAGGGGCAGTTATTATTTCTTCCATTTGAGTATCCTTCTAGTATCAGTGACAGAATTTATTTGTTTTTTTTTGAGAGGTTGAGAACTGCTAGGCTGTTTTTTAGTCTGTTGGAGGATGTGCATTATAATAAAAAGGGCCCTAGTAGTAAATGGGAAGTGTTATATTATTAGGAGCCTCTGGAATTGATGGAATACTCAAATTAATTTCAAAGGTAAATCTAACTACTGCTTTGTGAGTGTTTCCTGGAGGGAACAGATATTCAAAGCAATACTATTTCTCTTTGAAGCTTTTCAAATTGCTAGTAGAATTCAATCATTCATTTAAGCGGAAAAATTAATTTTAACTATATTCTTTAATTGTATACCAGTTTACGTACTTCAGCATGACAACATTCTCACATCTACTTTCTTGACGAATAGTTACTTTCATCTTCATTTATTACACAAAAATCTTCTTTCGCTGTTCTAATAGCTAAAAACATGGAAGTGGAATATTAATCTCCAAGCTAAAAGGTAGCTAAGTCACTGAAGCTGTTGCCATTTCAGATATTCTTCAACCTTATGAGAAAATGGGACAGAAATTGAAGACACTTATCTAAAAATAACGTGGACTGTTAGTTTGACAGGATAGTGGGGGGAGAAGGGGAGGGAGAGGACAATTTATCCAGTGGTTCTCTTTGATGTCTAAGGCAAT